GACGCGCCGCAGAGCATGACCGCGGTGCCGTGGCCGTCGGTCCCGAACGGGACGGATGCCGCCTTCCTGGGCGGCCCCGCGTCGGTGTCCGCGCCTTGGGGCAACGGCTCGGCCGCACCACCGGCCGCCGCGTTTCGCTGCGCACTGACCAAGACCGGCTTCCAGTTCTACTACCTGCCGGCCGTGTACATCGTGGTGGCGGTGGTGGGGCTCGTGGGCAACAGCGTGGCCATGTGGATGTTCGTGTGCCACCTGCGGCCGTGGAGCGGCATCTCGGTGTACATGTTCAACCTGGCGCTGGCCGACTTCCTCTATGTGCTCACGCTGCCGGCGCTGGTCTTTTACTACTTCAACCGCACCGACTGGGTGTTCGGCGACGCGCTGTGCCGCCTGCAGCGCTTCCTCTTCCACGTGAACCTGTACGGCAGCATCCTCTTCCTGACCTGCATCAGCGCGCACCGCTACAGCGGCGTGGTGCACCCATTGCGCTCGCTCGGCCGCCTGCAGCGCGCGGGAGCCGTGCGCGTCAGCGCGCTCGTCTGGCTGCTGGTGGCCGCCGCCATCGCGCCCATCCTCTTCTACTCGGGCACCGGCGTGCGCCCCAACAAGACGGTCGCCTGCTACGACACCACCTCCGACGAGCACCTGCGCGGCTACTTTCTCTACAGCCTGTGCACCACCGTGGCCATGTTCTGCGTGCCGCTCGTGCTCATCCTGGCCTGCTATGGTCGCATCGTGCGCGCGCTCGTGCGCAACGACCTGGACCACTCGCCGCTGCGCAGGAAGTCCATCTACCTGGTCATCATTGTCCTCGCCGTCTTTGCCGTGTCCTACATCCCCTTCCACGTCATGAAGACCATGAACCTGCGCGCCCGGCTGGACTTCCAGACCCCGGAGATGTGCGCCTTCAACGATCGCGTCTATGCCACCTACCAGGTGACCCGCGGGCTGGCCAGCCTCAACAGCTGCGTGGATCCCATCCTCTACTTCCTGGCAGGGGACACGTTCCGCAGGAGGCTCTCCCGGGCCACCAGGAAGGCCTCCCGGAGGAGCGAGGCCAACCTGCAGTCCAAGAGCGAAGACCTGACCCTCAACATCCTCTCCGAGTTCAAGCAGAATGGAGACACCAGCCTGTGAAGGCACGCGGGGCCGGGGCCCGCCCTCCTGCACGGTAAGACCTCTCCCGGGTACTCTCCGGGGCCTCCCCGGGTGGCTTCGGTCACTCAGAGCACATCCTAGAAAGTGGTTTGTAAAACCCACAGGGACTGCTGGAGAGGGCACGTTCACACTCTGCCTCCTTTCCCTCAGTCGTCTTTGACCAACTGGAGCCAACAGTGGTTGAGCTTTTCCTTTCCCTTCTGCCTCCTGCGTGCAGGGGCCTCTGTACCCACAGGCGTCAAGCCTCTCCAGGAGCTGGAGCCCATGTGTCGGATGTTGGTAGAGTTCCTGCAGGGAAGTTTGCCCATGAAACTTGGCTTTTGGGTTTGTCCAGACTCTGTTGCTTCCAGCCATAGATTGTGACTGACAGAGCAAGCTGAAATCCCCAGCAGAAGACAATACTGAGCACACACAGCTGCAGCCCTGGAGCTGGTGTGTCTCAGCTCCGAGCCACATCCAGGGTGGCAGCCTACTTCTCTGTGGGAAGCTCATAGGAAAGCCTTGGAAAGAGAGGCTGTCCTGATCATTTCTGGGAGGCCATCCCAGGGGATGGGGGGTTGGCAGCCTGGGATGGGGGTTGGCAGCCTGGCTGGCATCTCACCTGCAAACAGTGTAGGCTTCCTGGGGCCCCAAGCCTTCCCTGGCTCCATGGCTGGGAGGCAGGGCCCGCCAGGGACAGCTCTGCTTCCCAGCCAGCCTGAGCCTCTCTCCCCTGTAAAAACAGTGCCCAGAAATGGCAAACTCAGGTCCCAAGCATTGAAGGCTGTGGGACACAAGATAACAGACATTTCAGCCTGAAGAGCTTGAAGCTTTCCACACCACAGCCGGCCAACTTTGCTCAGAAGTGGCAGAGTGGGGGTGGGAGGTGGATGGAGGGGGCAGGAGGTAGGGGAGCAGGAGGGGATGGGGAGGGGGGCTAGGCGAAGACAGGGAGAAACCTACATGAAGACTTTTAAGTCAGAGTGGTAAAGGTTCCACTGGCTTCTTCAGAGTGTTAGGAATCAGCAAATGCAGCAGGACAGGAGATAATCTTTTAATACATTTTATACCTGGACATTTGGGTTTGGGAAAGGAAAAGAAACACATGTGGAAGGAGAAAAATGGAAAACTCTTAACTAAAATCTGAAGTATCATTGAAACAAAGTAAGCTGTAGGGAGTGCTAAACAAGCCACTAAGAATTGAAAATGATGGCATTGCTTTTCTGTAAGTGATCTCTGGCAGGCATGAATAAAACATTTGTAAAATGTTTCAGCAACTTGAATAGTAATTTTTAATGAATGATGAATTGCTGAATTTACAGCCCTCCGAGAGGTCAAGTTTTATGTAAGGAGTGTAGTAAAGAAACACAGTAACTACAGATAAAAGGCATTTTTTGTTGTTGTTGTTGGAAAGCTGTTGTGCAAACAGCCTGCACCAGAGGCTGCAGCTGACGCTGAACAGCTCTCTCGGAGTGACGCCTGGGGCTGCATTCGGGAAGGAAGCCCCGCCGTGTCCTGTGGGGCTCAGTACTGGTTATCAGTTCTTGCCAGTCATTCCCTGGGTGGACTGAGGGTTTGTGAGGCTTTCTGTATCACCTCACTGAAGAAAAGCTGTTCTTAGCCTGCCTGCACAGTGATTCTTCCACGCACTCGGTTGTTACTCGTAGGATTCCAGAATTTATATCAAGAAGCAGCCTCCTGTACTTCAGTGTGACAAGATCTCCAAGGCCCTTACATCCAAGGTCCATACAACACTGTCTGTTTCAGTACCTAGAAGACAATACTGACCATACGTCTTTACTCCCCTGACCCCTTGAAACATGTAAATATGTGTTCAGTAAAATAAAGAATGGAAGCTCCAGGGCCTGTGCTGGTATTTGAACTCACAACCTAATAGACACATTTCTGTAGCCTTTCCTCCTCTTTCAATTTTCTTCCTTTTAGGTTTCTAGTTGCCCAGCCTGGTTTGAGTGTGTGAAATATTGTTTCAGCTTTTGGGGTGTGCGGGGTAGAGGCAGACACTGAAGACATCCTTTCATTACTTGGTATGTTTTTTTTCTTGTTCTCTCTTTCCCTAGTGCCGGAGATGGACTCAGGGTCCTGCGCGTGCTATGCAAGGGGTCTACTTAAGCTACATCCCCAGCCCAAGTAGATCATGATGCATGGATGCGGGCAAATGGTTACAAGGATGGCCTTTCTTGTCAGCTTCTTCCAGGAGGAGAATCCCTAAAGATCTGTGTTCCTGGCAGGACATGCAGAGGATGAGCACAGAGCACCAGGAGCCTGATCCACACATGCGGCATGACCACGCGCGTCCTCTGATAGTAGAGATGGAAGTCTGGAGGCCTCTGGATGGAAGGATAGCTACAGCTGTGTTCACCTTAGAAAACAAACCATTTCACTCTACGAAGAGATTTCAATATTAAGTCCGAGCTTTTCTGAATGCTTAAAAATTGGCAGCTCAGCTCATGAACATGGATTTGTCATGGAAATAAGATGAAGATGAAATGCAGTGTGAAGGTCAGAATTTGGATGGACACCTGATGTGGTGGGACCCCTGGCCCTCAGAAGGCCAGTCTTGGTGGATTTTCAAGGTTGGATGATGTCCATCTGCTGAGGCCATAAGGGAAGCAGTAAAACCACTAGGCAGCCAGGGGTGTGCGATGTCTCCTGTATTTTCTGTCTTTAGTCAGTCCTTGTCTAAAAATTCCTACAGGGTTGACCAGCTGTGAGCTGGCCAGGTCCCAGCTCTGCGTCTTCTCTGCTTAGACAGGACACAAATCTCTCTTTGGTTGGATGTTGCCATGGATGGTACTTGCAGCAGTGGGAGCTTCGTGAGTCCCTGTACCAAGAGGGGTGTTGCTTGTGAGGTCTATTGAAACTGTAACTTTGCTGGTCAAACTGTAAGCGTTGTAATAGTATTTATTGACAAGGCTCATGATCAGTCCTTTGCTTGTACAGACTGCAAGCGCCTCTTGGAAGCACAGTATAGAGATGTAAATTATATTTATTACCATGTATAATATTAATGTCAAACTAGTGTATTTTACATAATGTACAATGCCTAGGTAAAGTGAGAGTTCTGTATTGTGATGCTATTCAAATATCGGAACTTGAAATATTCAAGACTTTGGTTTTTATTTTGGTAAAATATGAAAAATCCATATTGTAATATAAGTGATTATTTATACCTAGTAGTACATTTGCATGTCTGCCTCCTTCCGGATCTATTTCTGCAGATTAGGTTTGTTGTCCAGTTATGATTAGTACAGAGTATAATAAAGCACCTTAGCCAGATTAGGTCTGTATTGTCTTATAGTGTGTGTGTGTGTGTGTGTATGTGTGTGCGTGCGCACGCAGAGCTCCTATTCCAAAAGCCAAAGGCTTGTTGCAGATGTGACCTCTCAGTGTAGAAGGCTAGCAGACTGCACATTCTTAGATACAAAACTAGAATTTAAGGACAAACTTTGGGGAGATGGAAGAGAAAAGGCTAACTGGTACAATCAGTTGCTGCTACTTATTTCTGAACTGTTTTTGGTTGTGTTTCTTCTTAAGATTTAATAGAAGAATCTTAATTCCTTTAGGGTTTATATGTAACACACTACCAATAATTGCTGTTGATTTCAGGCTGTTTTCCTTTGACAACTGCTAACTTTAATTCTCTAGTGGTAACTGTATTTTGGGGCTTCCAAATTTGACAATGTGTCTTTTTTCTCTTTTGTACATTGTATCTTCTACATCAACATTAATATGAATATGTTACATATCAAGGTTTGTGAATCTTAATTATGTTATGGTTTAGTGCTTTTTCAAAAAAGCACTTTTTATTTTTATATTACTGATTTTAATAGAGATAGCTTGGTGATGGTGGTTCCACTGGAGTGTTATTTGACATTTTCTGCCTCTTTGGAGTTTTCTCAGTCCCTGGTAGCTTAATGAAGCCCAGACCAATTATATGTAATTGTGTTTTGTTAAAAAAAAGCACAAATTTGTAAAAGCATAGTATAGTTTGCATGCAGGAATATGCAAAATCTTGTGTGTGTGTGTGTGTGTGTGTGCTCATTTGTGTGCACGTGTGTGTATTATGCACGTGCACACACACACATCTACAGCCCGGTGACAAGCCTCATGACTGCTGTTGATAGATGTGGCAGGGCTTCACAGCCACGGCCACTGAGTTGTGCTGTCTGACACCAGTGAAACTGGAAAATAATCAATAAAGCTATGAAACTGGGCTATTGGCTCCTACTTCCTGCAGAGCCGGACAGAGCAGCTTTCCCACATCTTTAGGCAGAGGGAAGGCTGTGGACGGGAGGGTCCAGCACAGGTGATTTCTTAAGAGCTGTAAAACTGAGTGTTTGAGAGAAACTCCACATACAGGACAATCCCTAAGATTATCATTTAGGAACGTAATTCCTTAAAATACTGAATGCTACCTTAAGACATACTTTTTATACTGGCTTAAAACATTGGCTTTAATCATTTTTAATGTAAATTTAACATCTTAATCCACAGAGATAACCATCCTGACAGTCATTTTGAGCTTCTGTTAGCCTACACTGCTTCTCCTAGGTATGTTACATTTATCTAATCTTTCTTGCCTATTATGTATCACCTATCACTATTCACCTATCTCCTAATATCTATGTATCATCTATCGATGATCTGTAGATATACAGAGATACCTACAGAGAGAAAGAGAGAGGGAAAAAGATCGCAAATACTGGGAAGGAACCAATTTAAGTCTGTACTGTTCTTCCTCTCCGTGAAGGGGGGGGGGGGTGACCCTCTGGGGATTTCCAGTGCCTGCCGCCATCTCCTGCAATAAATGCCTGTGGATAAAAAGTACAGATTTCATGCTGTCCTCCTGACATGTCGGTCTCTGTTCATTCCTTGGTTAGATGTGTAAATTTCACTGTTGGTGACTCATACTCAGATCAGCTTTGGTAGAGTTTGTGTGTGTGTGTGTGTGTGTGTGTGTGTGTGTGTGTGTGTGTCTA